ATAGGACTCACGTGTTGCCATGCCCCGATACGAGCCGACACGCTCCACCACGCACCAACATGTGCCGCCACACGTAGACACCAGCACGCATGTGAGGGAGACCGAACGAAATATTTGGAAACCATCAAGGAACATTAGGAATATTCAGGTAATGGAATATTCAGGTAATTGACCAAAAAAAAATTAGGAATATTCAGGTAATGGAATATACCTTCAGTTTAACGCAATATGTTGAAGTCAATAGGAATATTATATCATTTGACAGAATATTTCGTCTTTCTCCTCTAACCGGTCACTAGAGTTGTCGTGTGCGGCCGTCATTCTGCTGAAACTTCATCGGGTTCTGGGGTTTTCCCTTGATTTCATCACAGAGTAAAAACAAGATATTTCTCAGCCACTTTTTACATACAATATGTCAAAACGAAGCTTTGAAGAGTAGGAAGTTGGGAGTTCAAAAGGTGGCCGGAGATGACTTGAAAGTCATGACCGTATATGGAATTCTTGGATTTCGTCAATTATGATGCAGATTCGAGCATGCTTAATTTTGAAGCTAATGATGATGGTGAGTAGATTTTTGGAGGTGCTCTCGCTTGACTCAACAAATTTAGGCCAAAAAATCATCAGTAAATCTTGCAACTCGCCCAAAAATGAAATCGTTATATTTTGTTCAAAAATCATTATTCTAAAGCTAATCGTCACATGAAAATGATCCAAAGGTTACTTGAGGTCGAAATAAGCCAAATGAGACCACCCTCATGGTCTACCGTCACCTACAACGTCAGAAACTTGCTAGAGAGGACGTACGTGAACTGGCTTCATGGCTTCTCGGGTTTGACTGTGAATTCGGGGAAATGGACGCTAGGGATATGTTTATGGCAAGTTGAAGATCACAATGGTGGTGGTTTGGTAGTGTGGGTTTGAAGAGATCCAAAAACAATAGTGGTATTACCGCCGCCTCACTGTGATTGCAGAATGAGAAGAAGAGAAAGGTTGGAGGCAAAGAGAAAGAAGGAAAAAAAGAGGGAGAAAAGTTTCTCTTAAGGTGTGTGTAGGACAAGTTCCCTTCAAGGTAAAAATGCTTTTAAAAGGTAAAAACCTTGATCATAAAACGTTGAATTCATTCACACAGTTTTCTCAAGATTCCTGTCTGGCAATACCCAAGTGTGGTACCATGATTTTTCAGGGTCGGAGTAAGGCTGATTCGAAAGCAATTACCTCATAAGTCCGGTCATGGACTCACTAGCTCCAAGTGAAGTTGCGTCTGACGGGGTAACAATACCACCATCACCCTATTCTAGGGCAATAAGCAGAGCCCTAGCAACTCCGCTGGATGACCATACTTGTTCCACAAGACACGCGATTAAATCCAAATATGGACACAATTAAATCCTTTAAGTCTTAGAATTCCTACAATCTAGAAATTAGCATACACCGCAAGTAATCATAATTCCGAAGGTGGTCCAATACCTATTATAAGATATCCTCTAAGATTCTCTCAGTTTAGAATAAGGATTCTATCCTGAAATGGTTTCTTCCCCACGGTATAAATCCACATGTCTATGGTTCATTTCTGGTAACGTAATCTAAACAATTGAATTTTCTTGCCCACTGCTTGAGTCTAAAATAGTTCACTAACTTGCTGTTGGAGAGCCTTTGGTGCGCACAGCCCCCTAGGTGCTAGACTTGTTTATGGTTGTTTATTGTTTTGCAGATAGTCGGGTGTGAATATTTCTGCCAGACTTGTCGGTGCGCGAATTTGGTTCCCAAATTGGTGCTTTCATTGAGAGTGAACTCCTATTCTTCTTGACCAAATCACTTTACTCTATGGAAACTCTCCCACGATAGTCACCCTACGGTCAAGCCACAAACCCAAATAATGAGGATGCCTCTTCCATGGATCAAGTCTGGAATGGTGTGCTAAAGATATATGTGTCATTGAAATATCTTTGAAAAAATTTACGATCCAGAGAGCTGACAAGACTTTCCAAGCTAGACAAAAGGTTGAAAAATATCAAAGATGTGGTCACTTGTTTTAAAAATCCATCTATCCAGGCACCCCCAAGGACCACCGGTCAAAGTTCAAGCATACTAACCCAAAAACTCGTCTTCAAGGGCATGGGTAAAATGATGGGCATCCTCAATAGGGTCAATTTTAGAAGAACTACTATCCAAACCTTTGATGAGACTCCACTCTACATTTTCTATAGGAATAATGCAACTTATGGTACAAGAAAAACCGTCAACATTTGATGACCTTCCATGTCATGGACTGCCCATCTCCTTATAACACTATCCTTGGTCGAGAATGGCTATATAACATAGGAAAAATTCCCTCGGCCAACTGCCTTTGCCCCACTATCCAGCCATAGTGATAAGCAATAGAAGATCGAATGCTACGAAAACTGAAGGTTTGATGATGGGAGGAAGAGCCCCTGCCAACGAAAGACAAGCCTGTAACAGACCTCTTTAAGTGGACTAAGTAAAACATCATCCGAACTATATGCGGTTTGATTCCTTTCCCAGGATATGTAGGTTGCCCATTCCAGACTCAATCATAACGCCGCCATCTGGGCAAAGATAAATCCATGGAGAACTATCTTCCAGCACCCTACCATAGGCTCATCGTTAAAAGTAATCCCTAATGTAATTTTTACATTATATCAGTTTTTTTCTTAGAACTACACCAGTGATTTGATTTTCCTCAGGATATGTAGGCAATCATTCCCAGATTCAATCACACCCTGTTGTCAACCAATCCTATTCTCGCCATAAATAAAGAGATTTTATTTGTCATGATTTCAATGATTGTTACTTTTTTCCTTTTTTTTTCGATGATGCAGGGAATACCCACACAGTTCAAGCAAGGCATATACTTTGAAAACTTCACACGAATGCAAGTCTAAAATTCAAAGCAACACTATCAGAAGAGTCTCTCTTAGCCCATTCTGTGTTAAACGGTTAGTACTTTGGCAAACTCAAACTTAATAAGTGCAGTTACGACTGGCGAGATACTGGCACATGGCACCCTAACCTGGAAGTTCAATGCTTCATTCGGCCTTTGGAAAGTATTTATAGCAAAGTTGTAGGTTATAACATTCAAACCTAAGCTTTACGTCATTCAAGGGAATAATCGAAAGGGCGATCCGGAAATCATCCGAAGGTGGTTCTTGACGTTGAGTACAACTACATCTATCTTGCATCAACATACTAAGTTAAGTATGCTTTGCAACATCACATGTTTGCAGGTCTGAAGGGGGTATCCAAACTAGGCAATCCCCATGAGGAATTTTATTTGAATGGAGCTTCGGTATGCATAAATGATTTGGCTAAACTTGTCAAGGTAGTCCGATTGAAAACGCTCATGTCCGACGACCAAGTCTCCAAAGAACTTAAGTTTAAGCTTCACTGGAGATGGACACGTAATTCAGGCAAGGATATACCCCTCTCCCTGGCACCACATTGCAGGCATTAATGTCCTTAGCCCAAGAACTGGGGCACGACATAGAACAATTGGCCTATTTTTACAAGTTGCCTTTAATTACGATTCGAAATTCTTGATCTGGTAAATGCGCTTCAATAAGTGAAGAGCACAAGTTTTCTAATGGGTTTGATGTTTAAATCCTGGTACTGGAGTAATGTGATACTCCGGATATCGATGAGAATAATGCTAAGTTGGCCTTAAATTATTTGTGTAAAACTGGATATATATATATATATATATATATAAACAATCGTACATGTAGCTAGTCAATAATCAAATAAATGAAACATTTTTATAATGCCTCCATTGGAAATTCATGGCTCTACCGCTGTGAACGACTTATTTTCATTATATATCCATAATCAAAACTGTTTAATCTTTCAATCTTTATTAAAAAAAATATTTAAATCAATTATCATTTTTCAAATTGGTGGTTTCTTCAATTTAACAAAGATTTTCCACAAAAGGACCAAAACGATTGACAAAAGACAATCTCAAGGACCACTTCTATTGTTTTCTAAACGAGTATGTAAATCTCGAGAACCATTTTGACTAAAAAGTGTAAATAAATTGTTCTTTTTAGTTACAAGTCTCTCATATCACTTGCTTTGAAATCCCTCTGCGAAAAATAAAATATCAACCTTTTTTGTTTGATTGGTCGGTTCGCTTGTCAACAACCAAAGTAGGGATAACACATGGTAACGGTATCTAACGCGCATACCTTCGGCCTTGCAATCTGCAGACCACGGGCAATGGTGGGTTTTCAGACAAAGTAAATGGAGAAAAAATGGTGACTTCCAACTACTAACTCCCCCATTTATATATGACGGCCATAACGCATGCCTACCAGTACTATTGTATAAAAAGATAACAACATACATGAAACAAGTTTTAACACGATAATTATACATCATCAATGCATTATTAAATTGAAACACTATATAGCGGTAAACTTATTCTATGAAAGTCCCTCTCCTTACCGGATATAATTGGATAGTGATTTATGCACCCTCCTTATGACTTTTTAAGCTCACTCTTTTTTAGCCGAAAGATTAAATAAATAAAAGAGTTAAAGCTACATAATTTATAAATAAGAGTAAAAACCTAAAAGAAATCACATAGCTCACTTCCAATTGTAAATAAAGCCTTATTTTTAGCTATCCCCGGTACACAAAATCACACTTTACTTGTACACTCTGTTATGTCCCATTTCATCAACTGGATTGAAGGAGAGTACATAATTTATGAATGCTAGCAACTTCGTCGTTTTGACCCTCTTGTATAACTTTCTCATTTCTCGCCCTCATCTTTCACATCACACAATGATCCAATTTTCTAAATCACCTTGTGGAACTTTTTCTTTTTCTTTTTTTTTTTTGGGACAACAAAATCACCTTGTGGAACTTAACTCGGCAAAAAACACTAAATCCGAAATCGTTGTCACCCAACAATTATCCAACAGATTTCAGTTAAACTGAAATTATGACAACCTTAAACAAAAAGCATATAATATTGGAAGTGAATAAGAAATTGCCAAAGAAGAGCATATAATATATAGAAGTGACATTAGAGGAGAGATTAATTAACCTACACAATTACCACTCAACACACAAAAACCGTACAATAAAAAGGACTAAATACACGTTAAACTTGAACAAAAATAATCCTTACTCGATATTCAAGCTTCACCACCGGCCAGCTTCAGTTCGTCTTTCCTTTCACTGCTAAAGTCGACTTTTAATAATAAGCCGACATCAACAAATCTTTGTAGGGAGATGGAAATTGCAGCATGTTTGAGACACAGTACAACCTCAAAGATACTACTCATAGAAGGGAAACTGGGCTCAAAACCTCAGATGCAGGTCGTTTTGCCTTACAGCATTCCATCTTGATTGTCCTAGCGCATTACTCAGCCACAACCATTTACAGAAGTTATCATCTCCACAGAAAGCCGGCAAATGAAGGCATCCTGCAAACAGTACCTAGGCAGGAGAAATATTTATACGGGAAGGAGATGGTGACCTCTCTTTTCTTTTACCTGTCACAAATGTGGTTTTATCACGGTGACTGGCAACAGGCTCCGATGTGCATGATCTTAGTAACTCATGGTGTTGGCAAATAACACCGTTCTGAGAAGATGCCAAATTCTGTGAGACTTCACCACAAGCTTTCGATACACTTGGCCGTGTAATACAGAGCCAGGTTCTTGCAGGCTCCTGACAGCTTTCATCTGCTATGGGCACATGCCATGATCCATTTTCGGATTCCTAAAACACATTTAAGGGGTCAGCTAATCACCAACACAGACTAAGAATTATGCACCAATCAGCCATGCTCTTTCTTCAAACATTTAAGGCAATCATCCACTCATGGAGATTATCATCATTTTATAGCGCAACTGAGATTTAATTTGAGACCATTTAAACCAAATGTTAAGCACTCAAAGTGGCCCAGAATAAAATGGCAAATCAAAACCGAGTTTACTGATTAAGGTGACAATTGAGGGGCAACTTATGGGTCGTAATCTATCTATAGCAAAGTTCAACAATGGTTTAAAAGGCGAAGACGAAGCCAAGGCATTTAATGGATAGCATTGCCTAGGCGATAGCCTCAAGGCGTATCGCCTCATGGTACCTAAAATTATTAGAATACTTAATATCTGTGTATATATATGTGCGCGCGCACGTGTGTGTAGTACAATACTTTGTAAAACAATTAAGCAAGCATGCCAAGCAATCAAATATTTAACAATAATTATTATTTCTCCAATTCACATAATACATTCATAATAACCTAATAGAATCTAAGTTAGAAACATAAAACTAGCATGATTTTTATAAAAACCCTGCCCAAAACAACGTCGTTTTGGGTTTGGGTTGTTTTTAAACAAAAAATTCGAACGCCCAGGTCGCCTAGGCGGCTGAGGCGATAGCCTAGGCGTTTAGGCTAGTCTATAGCTCACTACCACTTGGCAGAAGCGTTTTCTTCATAGCCCCACCCCAAAAACTGCCTAGGGGTTAGTCTTAAAGCTAGTTTTTTGAAACCCAACTTAATTCTGTTTAAACCAAGGTGCCAATTCATTAACATGCTGAAAGCTATATCCCTACTATCCAACTGCTGTTGAATAGATTACGACTAACTTTTACACACAAAAAAAAACTATTGCCCTCAAGCTTGAGCATAAGAGATGGTCATTGCATCAGCATGAGAGAGACTATAAACCTAGAAATGTGAAAATTAGAAGCCACATATTTAATGCAAGGTGAGCATCTTTATGTATGCAAGAAAAGCAGTAGCTGAAGGAATCACTCAAAATTGTACGGCATACTTTAGATTTTAGGTTTTGCCCGTACAAGTGTTTTTATCCTGATTGATTTATCTTAAATTTACAATCAATAAAATCTGGTGTATTTCATTACTCATTTATTTCCATAATCCTCAGTTTATTTTCCATTAATTTCCTATCTGAACAAGTATGGCAGTCCTATTTGGACCCCAAATTTCCAACAAAGCAATTTTCTGAAAGGGAAAATTTTAAAACGTCATATGAACTTATACGCCTTTTTTTAATTTGTCATATAAACTAAAATTTTAAGAGATTTGTCATATCAACTTTCCAAAATCATTAATTGGTCATCTCACCCTAACTCCATTAAGCTTTACATCCAAAAGAAGTTTTGTGCAAGACTTGGTTTCAAGGTTATTTCGAACTTTCTAACTCACCACAACCCTTCAAGATTATTTCGGACATTTCATCTCGCTTTTTTTAAGAACAGAATGGACAACGTTGAATTCTTAAAGCTTAGTTAAACTCCATGTTAGTGAGCCTAATGTACATTTTTAGGAGTTCACCATAAGTTTCTGAAACGAACATGACATTTTTTTTACTAGGCAAAATTTTTGGGTTCGTACCAAAGAAAAGTAGAGAACTTGTGAAATGAAGGTCAAATGATCGAAACCAATTTATTCCTTCACCTCCTAGTGTAAATATATCCTTGTATAAAATTTAAAAAAATAAAAAATAAATAAAAAAAAAACCTTATGAAAATGAGGTCAAAAGTTCAAAATAACCCTAAAGCAAGGCACGTGACTTATTTTGGATGGAAGACTTAACTTTGTTAGTGTGAGATGACAAATTGATTCTTTCGAACAATTTATATGACAAATCGCTTAAAATTATAGTTCATATGACAAAATGAAAAAGGTGCAAGTTCAAAAGAAATTTCAAAAAATAAAATTAAAAAAGTAAAAAAAAAAATCCCTTTTTAAAACTTTATAGTGCAATTTCCCCATCAAAACCTTTGAACAAAATTGAAATAAATAATAAGAGTAAACTACAGAATTGGTCCCTGAACTTTCATTAGAGTTTAGATTTTGTCCTTGATTAAAAATTCGTTAGTTTTCATCCTTGAATTAGAAGTCCGTTAATTTTCGTACTTGAATTTGACAAAATGTGGAGAATTGCTCCTTCCATCCTAGCTCTGTTAGATTTTCAGTTCTGGTACTTATGTGGCACCAAGACTTGAAATAAAAAATTAGTTTTATTAGAAAAATGGTATTAGAAAATTTTAAAAATATTTAAAAAGCTTCAAAATAAAATCATACACAGACCTCTATCTTAAACCACCCCCCCCCCAAAAAAAAAATTAAAAAAAAAAAAAAAAAAAAAACCCTCTCTCCCCTTCCCTCCCACCAAATTCATGCGACCTCTCTCTGTCTCTCCCTAAAGGTATCTGGGGACCTGGGGTGGTTGTGGGTAAAACTTGGTTAATTTTCGTTTTCACTTTTCAGAATTTCTATAATAAAAAATATTATATTTTGACAGAAACTTTAACCAAAGGACCAATGCTCTACCTTAAACAAAATTAGGGACTAAAATAAACAGATTTTTAGTTCAGGGACCATAGTGAGATTTCAGGGACCAATTCTATAGTTTACTCACTGTTGCACAAGGACCAACATCACCACCTCTGGGTTTCTGCAACTTCTCTAGAAACCAGCAAAGGTGCCCTGCATCCTTTTTTTTTTTTTCTCAATTATTTGTGTTTGACAAAATATAAGATTTGGAACAAAATAAAACTAATGAAGGTTACCATTGTATTTTCAGTAACCAAAAGAACATTTTACAAATTAAGAGCTTCAAATAAAGCCATTCAATAAAAAATAGCCTATTAGCATAAACAATTAAGAAGTGTACTATACCAGATAAATCAGATAGACAAAGAAACCAAGATAGTCACAGTAAGGACAGCCTATCGGAAGTAACCAAAATGGGAAATTCAAAACGGTACCTGGATGACTGAAGAATATGGGGGCGGCATCTTAAGTTTCACATTGCCTTTGACAAAAGTGTATCGAACCTGAAACACAAGATGCAAGAGAACTTTTGGCATTAAAGATTCAATGAGTGAATAGATCAGTTTTACATTTTAAGCAAACCAAAAACCAATCAACTAGATTTGACAAACCATCTAACATAGCAAAAAACAAAGGGTAGTGGTATCCACACACCCATTTTTACTTCTCATACACCCAACTCAATTTTCGGCCGTCAGATCGAATGATTTGAAGAACAAGGGTGTGTGGGAGGTAAAAATGGGTATGTGAATATCAGTTTCCAAAACCAAATATGCAGAAACATCAGTTGGATTGATTACGTTTGACTTTATGCGCTTTTCTACATAAAGTTTAATACGCTTTTCTCTATGTTACATCAAGAAACAACAAATGCAATGTAATGACAGTGATTTTGCTTGTAAATCGTTAGAGGCTGATGGTAATGTAAAATTTGGGGAGCAGAAAACTCTTGACTTTGTGTTTGTCTTTGATTTATGCAAATCAAAGCGTGTGGCAGCTACACTGGCTAGAGAAGGAAACGGAAAGGAAGAAACATCTCAGCATACATGCAAGAATATAACTACTAATAACTGTAGCTCACCTATAAATTAGAAGAACCTGTCTCAAATGTGCTTGGAAAATATAGATATAAAAGCAGTGAGAAACAGATGATTGTGCACAGATAGGAATAGCAATCGAATCGTATCATTCTATGTTCCTATCGAGTATTAGTGATCCTGATCCCAATTATGACTCGTTCAATGAATCGTGTCAGATGACTTTGGCAGTACCTTTACACGGTATCGATAAGGCCAAAAACAACAGGCATTACAATACACATAGTTTGATATCATGCCAAACTATAAGGATTCTTCCATACCTGTTCTAAATAAGTAACTAAATAGAAAATATCTAATGATTTGTAGATGAGATTGTGCAAGAGAATGAGATAAAACATGAAAAGCCAATAAAGTTTGAGAGCATATGCAATAACATTTAGAAAGAAGTTGAGGTTGTCCTAGTACACGTACTTGGTGTCTCTCTTTCCACTTGAGAAAGAAGCTGCTTCCTAGGAGTTCAAAAATGTGATCTCGCATTTCATCGTTCGTAACAAGCAAGCATTTGAGTTTCACAGCAGCATAGAGCCAATACCTGATCCATAGCATAAAAGTCGTGATGTTTAAAATGATGAACACAACCACTATAGAAGAGAATGTGGCCACATAAATTTTTTTTTTTTTTTTTTTTTTTTTTTTTTTGAGTGAGCACTGCAGAAGATTGCACTGTATGAGGAAACAATATATTTCTTCAACATAAATGCAGGAAACTGGTAATAACATTCAGTGAGTAGTGGATTGCAGGCTTATACCAATCATCATTGGAACCACTCGGTGTGGCATAAAGAATGCCTTTACCCATCCACTCCTCGACCAATTTTCTGTGGCAAGGATTTTCCACAAGTCCCCGGAAACGTCTATTATGCATGACAACAAGTGGCCATTTCCCTCCACTCCTATTGTACAATTCTTTTACAACAACGTCGAGCTGCTCTATTATAGAACATAAACATAGTGTCATGATTACATGTGCCTAAGGGGGCTACGAAACAACAGGAGACATAAGCAAAAGGAGAGAAACCATCATTTTGAGATGTACAACCTGAGTAAGACTGAATCCACCATCTGCGAAATTCTGCTGGTAAAGCCCAATATTAGCTCCATCCACTATAGCTTCATACTCAGCATGCTTGTCCAGCCAATCCTTCATTAAATTATTTGAGGGAATATGAATTAAATATGTTCACAAAGTAATTTTGCCCCGGAAAATTGAACACATAAAGTACATGGCTCAACAACTCTAATTCGACTCATAAATTTTTGGTTTCTGTCATTCCAAGACAAAACAGACATGGACAGATTAAACCAAGACAACCAAAAATGAAAGATCGCCACCCCAAAGATTATGCAGCAGCATATCCATGGAATCAGAGGTTTTGATTGTTCATTCCTTCTAATAGTTAGATATGCAATCAAAAGTTAAGCAAATGCATTTCAAAGCTCGTATTGTTATTCAAGCATCTTCATAATCCAGTAACGAAGTAAATGAACTCATGCTTTACACAACTTAACCCCAATATGACGGGAATATATGAAAAGATAAAGCTCTTTAATTTATGATTGTACTCATCAAAAAGACATAAATGCCTTGCATGATCATTGTATATATTTACAGGTGTATTAAATCTATGACTCTACCTCTAATAAGGAGTCAACCTAACAGACTCAAACTGTAAAGCATCTCAGTTCCTGCAAGTTCTATCATTAAAATCTCAACCCACAAAAGCCGAATCAAGAAAGCCCTTATACAAATAATGTGGGAAACCGGCATCAAACAATAACATTTTCATCAATGTCTAATGAATTTTAAACTCTGCTCTCAATTCCTCAAATTTGAATCCATGGAATCTATGACCTCATTACAAACAGCACCACCAACAATTAAACATCTGCATACACAATTATTAAAGTTCTAAATGAGACATTGAAAATTAAACAAATAGAAAGATTTTGGCTCACCTGGAACTCACTGAAATTCAACTTAACCTCCCTTTCCATTGCCAAAGCAGCAACCGACTGCGCAAACCTCTCGGTCGCCCCGCAATCAATGTCAACACAAACCAAACGCTCACCACAAGAGCTACATTGACTGCTGCTCAAATCCACAGTGGTTCTCCTAACATCCCAACCGCCCTTCCCAATCCACCCCTGCCCGTGCCACCCTCCTCCATTCCCCAAAACCAACTCTTTAACCCGACTCGAATCCCAATTCGCCTCACCCACCTCACAAGCCGCGCCGCCACAAAACCAATCCTCAATGTTCTTCACCGTTGATTCATTAACACACCTCCCGACATTCCTCAGCTTATGCAAGTACCCATAAACCCTCTCCCCATTTCCTGTCTCCGCGCTCACCTTCAATAACGCCGCAATCTCCGGCTCCTCCAGGCTCACCCCCACCATACCCATATGCTCCTCCACCTCATACGCCTTCTCCGCCTCCGATTTCTCGCAAAAGCAAAACAATGCTGGGTCATAACTCCGCAACTTCGGAAATATGTTATACTTCTCCATACCCTTCACCAGCCCAAACGCGTAATCCCCGTCGCCCTTGGCCGCAGCGAGCCTGGCCACGGCGGTGATGGTGGCCTCATTCGGAAGTATCCCGATGGACAACATGTGATCGAACATGCGGAAGCCATTTTCGGAAGCCAACTGCTTGAGAGAGGAGTCGGAGACGGAGTTTGAGCAGAGGTAGAGGAGGGTGTTGAAGTGGTGGTGGTTGAAGCGAGTGTTCTGAGAAAGGGCGGATTCGTAGAGGGAGATAGCGGCGGGGAGGTCTTTGTGCTTGGAGCAGAGAGTGAGGGAGGAGTGGAATTGGGTTTCTGGAGTTTGCTTCTTCCTGATCTTCTTCGGGGTCCCCATGGGCATGGGCATGGAGGAGTAGGGTTTTGGGGAAGACAAAAACCGGCGGTTTATGGTTCGGAATGTTATT